CAGGACCAACCTTTCCCCCTCCTTGGCTGTGATTGCTCCTGCCCCAGCACTATCTTCCTTGGGTCTCTGCTTCCCAGCAGGGAGGTCTCTCCTGGTCAGGGAAGCTCAGGCATGAAGATGAGCTGGTTCCCACTGTGCTGCTTCTCACAGTTGCCTATTTCAGTCACCACTGGCCAAGGTCCCATCTCTGATCTGCAGGATATATTCCCTCCCACCCATCCACACACAGCCTGCTGTCAGTTCACACTGTGAATCAAGCTGGTTCTGTCTGTGGCAGGAGCTTATAGCAAGGGAGTGTCCTGAGGCACCACAGATTCTTGCTTCTCTCCTTCTGCAAACACCACCATCTCTGTGCCCTCACCCTGCTTCCCTTTCATGCACAATTAATTATATGGACCATTAACAAGCTTGTAGGAGCAGTCCTTTGACACCATTAATTATTCTACTGCTACAGCAGAAATGCAAAAAATTGTCCCTTAACAGCCCACTGTCACCTGCCCTGTCCCCTGAGAACACCAAAACCTTAAACCAGGTTGCCCTGAGGGCAGAGTGAAGTAGGCAGCCTGTGGTTCTGGACCTGCCAAGGGACAGGTGGGATGGGACAGACATGTGCTGGGCCCAGAATGAGCTGCTTCTGCAGTGAACAACTCTGACAGGATGGACACGTCATAGGTGCTGCAGCTCTTGCTCTTTTCTCAAGCTTTCACAGCCAGCAGAGGTGAAGAGGATGCTCCTGAGAAACACCTGGACACTGTGGAAGCTGCTGGAGATGTCAGGTCAAGAGCATCTGATGAGGCAGCACCAGGCCTCAGTCAATGCTCTGAGCTGAAGCAGCAAAGAAGAGCTTCAGGGACTTGGTGACCAGATTTGGAAAGAAGAGACATGAAAATAAAATGGCAATGACAGGTATGTGAGAGTATATGGATGAGAAAAGCATGGGGAGGTCTGGGAGGTTTGGATGAATATTAATGCACATCTCAGGGGTGAAAATTGTATTCCTACTGCCTGTAAGGCATTTGTTTGTAATGTGTGCATAAACCATACATCTGCTGTGTTAAGCTGAGGCTCAAGGAGAGGTGCTGCAGCCACCTCAGCTGCTGCAGGGCAAGGCTCTGAAGGCACATTTAAACAGGACTTTCTGGGAGACATGTACAGCTTGTGTGAGAGAGAAGGATGCAATGGTGCATAAATCAGAGATCATTCCAAAGAAGAGGTGAGGCTACTGTCATTTGAGAACTGGCCACTGGTTTGTAGGAGTATCTTCAGGGAGAAGAGTCTGAAATAGAAATCATACATGTGCCTTATAAAACAGAAGAAAAGGGCCAAAAGTTCCATAACGAGAGGAAAAAATGAGTATTTTGTATTTCCATAAAATGTAGGCCAGGGTATGGGCAGGAGTAGGCAGTAGAAGGTCTTAGTATCATCAGCTAAGTTCTGGTGGCTCCAGTTTCTCACAAAATACCATTTTGACAACTTGCCTTCCTTTTTTAAACCTTGTCTCTCACAGACACCAGTTCTGAAGATATCAGTTCTGGGCGTGAGGGCAGCTATTCAACCCAGAGGATGAGGAGTTACTGTGCTGAATGTCTGTGTTTCTAACTTAAGACTCGAGTCTTAGTTCCTGTGGCCTCCATTTGCAAAGGCTCAGTCTAACACATCCTAAATTAACTCACCAGGCAGCGGGGTATGAAATCGGACATGACCGATCGATCCTCGAGCATTGATCCAAAGCTGAACTAATGGAATGTAAAGAAAATGTAAGACTCTATTGTACTGTAAAGGCTGCCTATTTAGCCATTTTACAAAATAAAACTCCATTTGGGAGCTGGGTGGAGGTGTAAAGTTCAAAGAACTGACTAAAACAAGGCATAGAGACTTCACAAACTGCTGCTGTACAGATTAAGCCTTGGGGGAATGGCTTTATTAGATGCCACTGACTACAATAATTGCATGATAATTTTGGCTAGAGGCACCATCCTATCATCCATCCTATCATCTGATGATTTTTAAACTGTGCATGAATAGTTTAGACAGAGTGATCTTGGCATCCAGCTACATAGAACTGAGAAGTCCATTCAGTGTACCACGTGTATGCTTGGGCTCTTGGGGAAAAGAAAAAAAAGGAAAAAAAATATGTCCTAGGACTCTCAAAGAGAGGTCTCTGAGAAATAACAACAAGCAGTTCTGCATGCTCCTTCTGCAATGCTCTAAGAGATTAACCAGGGGCTTTCTCCTAAGGTAAGTGGCAGAAAAATAATTCTTTCTAGGGCTGTATGGAGCAGGCAGGTGCCTGTCAGGCTTGAAGCAATGCAAATTAAAACCATGAGTATTTGCATCTTAACGTTTAACTTCTGACAAGAACTTTAATGCTGCTATTTCGTACCTCAACTGATGCAAACATGGCGTGAATGTCACATAGAAGTGATTTGAATAGTGGCAAATGACAAGATGATTCTTAAAGAAGTAACAAAATCAAAAATAAAGGAACTTCCTCCAAGAGAAATTATGGATTTCCATCTGATTCTAACTGATTACATGCATGAATTTTTATTGTTTGAAATAACCATACAAAAATACTGGGGCAGATACAAAGTTAGATGGTATAATGAGAAATGTCTCAGGTATGTACTCTCTATACTGAAAATGGTATATTTCTATTCTACAGTGCTAGTAGTATAGAATAGGCTGTACTACTAAAATTTCTAGTCTACTAGTAAACTGGAAATAATTATTTAATTGATATTTAAGATTGCTGTCTTACAGTAAACTGAAATTACTCTGTTAGATCTCAATTAAGACCAGGGAAGGGGACAGAAAAGGAAAAATTAGAAGCATGTTGCTATAACAAGGTAGTGAAGTAGTTTGGGCTGATTTCTTAAAAACACTGGCTTTTGTGGCTCTAAACTAATTTCTTCATTTTATACACTGTATTCACTGTGTCATTATTTGTACTGAAAGTTCTACCAGTGCAGAGCTGAGGGGAAGTGTTCTGGTATCAAGGGCTCACTTAAAGGGTGAATTTATACCATTCCTACAATTACATTTCCTCTGTTGGCTTTTATAATGCAAAGGTGAGGATAGAGTTATTTAAACACTGGTAGAAACCACTGAAGAAACAAAACTCTGTTGAGCCAGGGTGATATGTTTAGACACCTCCCTTGCCCTGAATAGTTACATCCACTTTCTGTTCCAGACAGAAACTTTCTGTTCCAGTTTCTGCTGCTAGAGAATTTCATCTTTGGGATTAAAACATATTTATCCCTGAATTTACATTGTAGCCTCATGCTTAGGGTTTTGTGGTTTGGTTGGGGTTTTTTGCTGAGTCAATCAATTTCAGTGAGGGATCAGCCACTTGCAAGGCAGTGAATATGCCTAGAGCTCCTTTGCTTAACTGTTGCATTGGACTACAATAATTACTGCTGACTTTCTGTTTTCCTCCTGTGTCTCATTGCAGTGATATGTGTGGGAGGAAAGGAATGGGGAAACAAGATATTCTGGGTGCATAACAGCACCTAAGAGATTGCTTGAATAGATGTGTTTACTTAGCCAGTTCCATGTGTGAAAATTCAAATTTGCAGACCAAAAACAGTCCCAGAAACATAATAATAAAGTCTGTAGGATGCCTATGCTGAGAATAACTTCACTGCTGGTTACAACTGAGTATTTTTACTTGCAGTGTGGATAAATACAGCCTTGAAGCAAAACTGAACTTCCTGGGATCATGTCATGAGCCAAGCCATATTAATAATGGTGACATCACCCAGCTATGCTATCATTTAAATATACAAGATTTTGGGCTCATCAACCAGCCAGATCTTAAAAAAAAAATCTTAGAAATTGTACTTTACTAAAGGTTGTGGTTTAGTGGAATTTGGGATGTTTTGAAAGTATTGTAGCATAAAAGAAATTCAAGTGCGAATCCTAAGGTAGATACGATCCCAGTTGCTTCAATCATTTATTGCCATATTAACAGAAAGAGTTCCAGGGACACAACACCAAACATGCAGTTGATTCACAAATAAACAGTCAAATATCTTACATTTCAATTCCCCATATTATCTGAAGCTCCAAAACAAAGCTTCAAAAGAAGCAGCTTGTAAATCAAGCAGAACATAAACTAATTTGCTTGTGAATCAGTTTCTGGGACAGAAATAGTTAAAAAGATTTTCACACACTCACTGTTAAAAACCTTCACATCACTCTGATTCAATTATCTCATATGCTAAAGTCTATAATTAAGATGCAGCAAACTTGATACATAAAAATAAAGGTATTAACCCTAGAAGCACTCAGTTTATTGATATTATCCTAGAACTGAGACTGCAAATGTACAGCTATGTGTAAATCAGCTATGTATTTGTAGTTTCAGAGAGAAACTTGTGAATTGTTACCTGGGTAGATGGGAAAATGTTGGATGGATGGCACTAAAATTGCTACTACCTTGGTGTAAAAAATGAAACTATTTTTAAGTCACAGCTATAGGACATTTCTCAAAACTTTATCCAAAAATAATAAAGCAAATAACATTATTCATTGTGGCAAAACTATGGCAAATCCATAGTCAGTGTGGAATGGAGTGTAGAATTAAATGAGTGTAGAATTAACCTGTAGTTGGCAAATGATTTGCAAGGCTGGAAAAAAGTGATCTTCATTACTTGTGGGAAGAAAAGAATATAAAGCTATGGGCAGTTATGAAGTACTGTGGTTTACAGCTGAAATTAATATCTCTTAATCTTTAAATAATCTCACATGTGCATCTTTGACCAGTAATCATGAAGTTTGAATTAATTTAAAGGCTCAGTAAGTAGAAAGTAATGACAAACTTCTAAGAGCTCTCCAGCTACCAGAAGAATGTATCTGAAACACATATATTAAAATTAACAAAAATACCAAAAACAAACAACAAAAACAACAACAAAAACTAAAAATGCCCATTTCTAAAAGAAATCCATCATTGCAAAAAAATAACTTTTTTCCCCCCCAGATATGAACTTCTGACCATGGGGGACTGGAACTTGTTGGGCAGCATCCTTGAAGAAGTGCACATCCACTCCACCATAGTTGGCAAAATCTGGCTCACAATCCTGTTCATATTCCGGATGCTGGTGCTGGGAGTGGCCGCTGAAGATGTCTGGGATGATGAGCAGTCCGAGTTCATCTGCAACACGGAGCAACCTGGCTGCAACAATATCTGTTACGACAAAGCCTTCCCCATTTCTTTGATCAGATACTGGGTACTGCAGATCATATTTGTCTCCTCCCCATCCTTAGTGTACATGGGCCACGCTCTCTACAGGTTGAGGGCCCTGGAGAAAGAGCGGCAGAACAGGAAAGCCCACCTGCGGGCTCAGCTCGAGGACCTGGAGCCCATGCTCGAGGAACACAGGAGAGTGGAGAGAGAACTGCGTAAGCTGGAGGAACAGAAGAAAGTGAATAAGGCACCCTTGAGAGGGTCCCTGCTGCGCACCTATGTCCTACATATCCTGACCCGGTCGGTGGTCGAAGTGGGCTTTATGATAGGTCAGTATCTTTTATATGGGTTTCACATGTCTCCCCTTTACAAATGCACTCGGCCCCCCTGCCCTAACACGGTGGATTGTTTTGTGTCCCGACCCACAGAGAAGACCATCTTTATGGTTTTCATGAACAGCATCGCCGCCGTCTCCCTCTTCCTCAACATCCTCGAAATCGCCCACCTGGGCATCAAGAAGATCCAGAAGAGCCTGTGCGGGCAGCCGCTGTGGCCGGCGGGCCCGTCCGAGGAGGAGCCCAGCGCGTACAACTCCAAGAAGAGCTCGGTGGTGCCTCCGCCGCCCTGCCTGGCCAGCAACGCGTCCCCGCCGCGCCCCGCGCCCGCGCCGCTCCCGCCGCCGCCGCCCGCGCCTGCCGCCCCCGCTCCGCCGCCGGCCCGGCAGCACCGCGGGCAGCTCCGGGCAACGCCGCCGCCGCGCCGGCGGCACCACGGACAGCACCAGCCGCCCTCCTCCAGCAGCGAGGAGGCGCCGCGGGCCGCCCCGGCGGGCGGAGGGGCAGGGGCGGCGGGGGCGGCTGCCGCTGCTCGCCGGGCGCCCCGCAGGCAGAGCCGGGCGAGCGCCTGCCGCGATCTGGATGAGGAGCGCGGCGACTCCCCGGACAGCGGGCACTGCCCCGGCACCCGCAAGTCCAGCTTCCTCTCCCGCGTGCTCACCGGGAGCCGGGCGGGCAGCGACAGCGAGAGCACCGCCTCCCGCGGCGGCTCCGGCCCCGGCCCCGGCCCCGGCTCCGGCTCCGGCTCGGAGGGGCAGCGCCGCGAGGAGGGCGCGCCCAGCCCGCCGCCCGCCGCCTCGGGACGCCGCCTGTCCATGGCAAGTAGCGGCCGGGACGGCCCGCGGGAGGGGGGCGGCGGGGGGCCGCGGCAGCCTGTGCCGGCCCTGGGGAGGAGGGGGCGAGCCAGGGGGCAGAACGGCTCGGGCAGGACCGCCAACACAGCCCCAGCCCCTCGCGGCCCCCCGGACAAAGCCAAGCTCCCAAACGCTCGGCCTCCTTCTGCCGTGAAAGCGGGAATACCAGGGAATTACTGAGTCCCGAGGAGCTCTAAGTCACCGAATCCCGGCTTCTTTATATACTCATTCCATCATCCCAATCCACTCGACGAGGATTGTCCCAGGGAAAACTTCTTCAGCTCCAGCCAGTGTAAGAAAGAGAAGCCAAGAATGCGTTGAGTTCAATGACACAACTTCTCTCAGTTTCAGGTTTGTCTCAGAGGTGACCTCCAAGTCAAATAATTGTTCAATGAATAAATCAAAAGATCTACATGTAAAAACCCCCACTAAACAATTGCAATGCCAGAGCCAACGACTACAGAATTGCTTTTTCAGAAGCTCCTCTTTTTCTTTGGCCACATGTTCTGGGCTTGCTTACAGTCATAATGTTGGCAAGATATAGTGCTCGTATTCAAGAGTCAACAAGGCTTTCTTAAAAGAGATTTGAATTCTGGTGATCTCAGATCACAGGTTTGTTTCTTTGAGAGCATAGAGGCTCCTTTACAATCACTTGCAGTAGCAAGCCCATAAATACCTTTTTACAGGGCATGTAATAAACATGATTACTTCACACAATGCTCAAAGTCATAGATTCTGTTCAATTCTTTTTCCTCGCTCTTCCTAAACAACTCCCCCTCTCCTTTTTTTTCCTATATACAAAACAAACAAAGCCAACAAACTTCAAATCTTTTCTGGTAAGAAACACAAGGCTCCTTTATACTGCTTATCCAAAAATTGTTTGTGACTTCCAGTTTCCATGGGGTTACAGTTCCTACAGAAAGCCAGTCAGCATAAGCCATGTTAAATTGTCACTTAGGTGCAATTTAACCACTTTCCACTTCAATCTTTCTAATACAGGGAGAGGGCCTAGAGCCTAATCTGTTGATCTGCTGGCTCTAGATACTCAGATAGAAGGCTCTTTAAAAAGGTGAATGCAGAAAGTTATTCAAAGCAAGACAGAATTTCAGTAGCACTCTCTTGAGAACTCACAGAAGTTGGTTGGCAGCTTTTCCTATGTAATGACAATGATTCTACCTTCCAGGGGAGACCTTCAGAAAAATATAGTCAGTTTGCAAAACAATGTCATTACTCTTGAAAGTAACACTCTCCCAGCATGCTGTCTTTGGAGATCATTGTGTACAGGGCTTGTGCTAGCATTTTAAAATGTGACTGATGTAGGTATGCTGCCTGGTGCTTCCTGCTTACAGCATACAATTTAAAAGTACTTGTACTTCTTAATTCCACTGAGGCAAGGTTTTGGCAAATGCACTTTATTCTGGCACTGCTGCAGCACTTTTATGAATACTGATTTCAATACACAAATATGCTGGTGCATCATAAATATGTTGAACCTGGGCATTAAAACTTGAATACTTTTCTAGTCTGTATTCCTCAGTTCCTATATTAATTATTTATTTTGATCAAATGCACTCAGCATTGGTTTGATTTGTTTTTATATTGTCCAGAAGATGATAATCATGTATTAATGACAGAATCACAGAATGATTTGGGTTGGAAGGGATCTTAAAGATCATCTAGTTCCAACCCTCACCCTGTCAAGGGACACCTTCCACTAGACCAGGTTGCCCAAAGGGCTCTCAAGCCTGGCCTAGAACACTTCCAGGGATGGGGCATCTACAACTTCTCTGGGCAACCAGTTCCAGCCCCCCACCACCCTCACAGTAAAGAATTTCCTCCTACTAAATCTGCCCTCTTTCAGTTTAAAGCCATTCCCCCTTGTTCCATCACTACATGCCCTTGCTAACAGTCCCTCTCCAGCTCTCTTGTCAGCTCCCTTTTACTTACTGGAAGGCCACTACTAAGTCACCTTGGAGCCTTCTCCAGACTGAACAACCCCAACTTTCTCAGCCCTTCCTCATAGGAGAGGTAATGTTTAGATAAAAGAAAAACATGTATGATTTTATTTAAAATCTATTGATCATATTTTTTTTAATAAGTACTTAAAAGTAGCTATATTAAAAAAAAATCCCAATGAAGCATACAAAAACATTGCCTACTGCCATCCCTGATTAACAGTGACTTGTAACACTAATGCAAAAAAAGTCAAAGTACAGACACTTTTTAGCATAACAGTGAATCCAATGCACAAACATACTTTAAACAGATAAAATACAGTCTGTTCTAACCTGGATTTTACAAATCTAAGCTGGGTAGCCTAAAAGGAGAATTGACACTGTTCAATTTTCTTTGATAAATTTCCCAAACTATCATCTTTAGTTCTGTACGGGTTAAAGTTTTTTTTCTTTTTCCCCCTCATCCACACCATTCTGCCAGAATTTGTCTGTAGCATTCTTTGTATTAGGTTCAATGAGAGAGGAGTATCAACTCAACATTGAAAAGATCACTTTCTACAGCTCAATAACCATTCTAGCAATCTCCAACCAAACACATCCCCATGTTCTGTGCTAAGGCAGCAGGGCAGCTGCAGCTGCCCACAAACACCATAGTTTTCTTCCTAGCTGAAAGAAACCCTCAAAGTTACACAAAATCCATCCATCTGATACTGCAAAAGTCTTCAGACAAGTCAACTGCACTCTGTGAGTTGTGGCTCTGAAAGCACCAAGCAAGTCTAAGGGTACAATTTATGGATGCTTGATCTTCAATCAGTGATGAGCTTTTTTCTGACCAGTATTACCAATGCCATTTCCACACCAAAACTGAATCTCTAACAAGTAAATAATAATCATTAGGGATAAATGTGTTAAAAGTTACTTCTCATTATGTATTGGACCCTGTGGATCAAACTATGAAGACCAGGTTTTGGATAGTAATTGGCTGGGTCATAAACACGATTTTTTTTCACAAGTACAAAACTGCATCTCTCAAAGAGAACAGGAAGTTTCCCTTAGGCCTTCCTCTTTGGAGGAAAGGTTATTTTGGACCCTTAGGAGAGAATGCATTTAATTCTTCACTGAAAGCCCCTATGAAACAGCACAGTAGGACATTGATTACAAAATGCATGTTTGGCTATCAGGATTCCTCAACTTTTCCAGACTTCAGTGCAAACAAGACCAGCTCTATATCTAAAAAAGAAGAAATGCCCTTCCCATTGGTAGGATTTATATAGACCACCCATGTGTGGCCACAAACTAGAAGGCTATCCAGGAAGCCAAAGTCAGAGAGACAGAAAACCTAAAAAATTTATTTGACTAAAGATTTGTTAGGAAAAAAGCAAACTTTTTTTGAGCCTCTGTTGGTCAAGCTTTAGGTTTATTAGATTCTGAAGACAGAGCACCAAAACTGGACCTTCAAGCACATGGCAAACAAAGGTAGAGAATAAATGCATGACATGAGAATTATTTCCAACTGATTTCATTCCACCTAACACAATGACAAGAGCATTGCTGACTATACAGATGAGCTAATCTCAATATAATGTTACAAAACTCTACACTGACAAGGGAATCCAGCAACTGTGTACAGCTCAAGTCAGACTATCTGCATGTCTCCAAACCTTGGTCCTGTGGACCACAGTCAGCATGCTTTGAAGTGACAGAAAACAATTTGTTCATTGGTAACTGTCTCCAAGCTAATAATTTCCAAGGCTCACTTAGAGGATACCTCTTAGAGAATAAACAGTATTTTATCTTCTCAGAGATATTGTGGGTACACATATGGTTCTGCCCTAAGGTTTGCTTCTCTCACCACATTTTAACTTTTATTTAAGGGGAGATACAGCTATGGAGCAAAAGGGCATCCTCTGCATGTTCCCATGCTGTCAGACTCCGTTAGGTGAAGCAGGCCTTAAATGGCAGCTTTTCACACACAACTGAGTGAAAAAACCTTCACTGAATTTAGTATATCCATAATCATAGCTGACAGCCAGGAGGTGGATCCACAAAGGTGTGTAGGAATTATGCTGCTGTCCATAGGACTCTGCACATGAATTATATTCTGAGAAAAAGACCTCATAATTTGCACCAGTCAGGGTCTTGAGTGGTGGATAATACATGCTTAAGCCTGATAAGATTAATAGACTGATGCAGTCTAAGATCAGTTTATAACAAGTACAGATACAACTTGTGCTCTCTTGAAAATAGGCAGGGCCAGGAATTACAGCCCAGAATAGGCACCTGGCTCTTGGAGCATTGCACTGAGGGGTATTGTCTCCCAGCATCCACATGCAAGACTGTGTCAAGCCATTAGGATCACAGAATAACTCTCTTCTTATCTCTGAGGGCATGAAAAGCAGACCTGAGCACTCCAAATGAACAGTTAGAGAAGATGGCAGCTTTACTTCCAAAGGCACTGTTGGCCAGAATCAAGCAATCTTCCTCCTCACCCATTTTCTGCAAGCCAGGGAGTGATGGCAGAATGACCAGACAGCTCAGCTGAGGTGACCACAGCCTGACTCTCTATCTTCAGAGTGTCACAATGTCTTCCCAACTCAATTACTGAATGCAATCACTTCTACAAAAGCTGGAGGCTGGCATTTCATTGCTAACTGCATTGAAGTCTTTGCTAGCTGTGTTTCCTGCCCTTCTAAAGCAGAGGATTCCAATTCCATGCTACCTGAGCAGGATGTCCAGCATCAGTTCTTTTTGGTCTTTACCTATATGATAGCTTTCTAAAGAATTCTATGCTGTGCTCTAAAACCTAGGAATTTTAATTTGGTTAACTGGAATTGTGAGTAGTTACACTAGATTGGCAACTCTTCACAAAAGCACCAACTTTCAGATGACTTGGAACAAATTATATTTGCAACCCATGCCTCAACCTGTATTAAGAGGTTATGTGCTCTACTGTGCTTGTGCTCTTTCTAGAGTACCCTAGGGTATTCCAAGAAGGTGGGGGCTTGACATTATCTAATGTTTGTGTTTCTTGATGAAGCCATGATAAGTTCCTAAACCAAGAAGCAAAACTGGAAATCAATAGAAGATGTATAATGATTTTAGCAACCAAAATTAGTAGATCAAGACTTTCATAAAGAAATCTTAGGCATTTTAGGCACTCTAGACTTTTGTTTTTCAAGAAGTGCTGCATCTTCCTCATCGTCTCCTCCAGAGTGTCCTGTGCTT